ATATTGTGCAATAAGTTTCTTCGCTTGTATGGTGTTACTACGCGTTAGTGTTAGTTAAGTGGCTTCTACTGATCTGTTCGTTCTTGTTAAGTACGGTAAGTTTATTAATTGCAGTAAAATTAATAATTGAACCTTTCAATTGCACCTAGCGAGGCGAGACATTTGACAAAGGAAAAATTACAAAAAAAAGTTATCAATTTTACAGGATAATAGAAACATATCCGTCTTTTTAACGTTCATCTGAAATCTATTTTTATAACAGCTTGCTGCTCATTATTATGGATGCTTTTACAAGAGGAAAATTGTCTGAGTGGGGTTTTCAAGATATAGCTGATGAATGAATTCGATAGAAGTCATTTACTTGAAACAGAACGGGTAGAAGTATTTATTATTTATTTTCAGAAAAGGACGTCTACTTTGTAATAAGCTTTCAAGTTTTTTTACCTTGTTATAAGTTAAGTTATTATGTTTTATGCTTTTTTTAATACATGATTTAAATAACTAATTGTTTTATTTGTACACTTTTCTACATTTTCATTATAGCTTCTGGTGAGACTAAATTGATTAAAAATAAAATCAATAATTGTAGTGATTAATACATCATTACAACCCAAAGGTAGACTACACAATTCTAGAAATACCCACTACAATATATTTGCAAATGTACTGCAATGCAATGGTAAACTCAACTACTTTTTGTAAAGATGCGTAACATTATATTGTATAATTCATTCTTAATTGCTGTAGAGAAATATTCTACAATTTTGTATAATTTTTTTTCTAATTATTGTATTGAAATATCCTACAATGAGAAGTAATTTTTAAGAGAAACTTGTAGCACATATTCTTTAACGTTGTGGTGGAGAGACAAACAGTTTGTAGACAATAGAGTAATTACAATATTATATTAATTTTCACTACAACTTGTTTCTGTCCCTATGTTCGCTACAACTTGTAATGAAAAGTTCTACAATTGTAGAAGTTTGTTCTACAGTTTTCTCTGAGTGTACGACTAATGTGAACAATATTAACTAGAAACCGCTACGGGGAGTTTCGTAAAAGTATTTCAAATGATTTTAGTATTGTAAGTTAGACTTTACATACAATTATGTTCTTCGCCCGTCGTGTAATACATAACTACATTCTTCCGCTAAAAATAATGCACGGAATCGAAAAACACCGGAGTGCCATACATCATTTACATTTTTTGCTATTTAACACGTCAACATATGTATATCATATATCAGATAAAAAAAGAACAAACGTTTTCAAAGTCGTAAAGCTACCGGGAGCAAAAAAACAAACCGATTTTAATGCGATAAGGACATAATATGTTTTCGTTTCCTTAATTTACCGCTTGAAATGTTCCACCCAAACGCAGCAATAATATATCTTTTTGTATTCATTTGTATAAATTTTACGTGGGACTTTATTACCGAGTGCTTTGATAATGCAGTTTTTAAATCGACAAAAAGCCATTATTATTTTATCACAAAAACAGAATTTGATTCAGGATATAAAAATACCTTTTATATATCATTACCAATGAAATCTTATTTAACTTTTAATTAGTGTTTCTTATTCACTTTTTAATTAGTGTTTCAGATTTAACATACAAAAAATGCATCCAATTAAATTGAAAAAAAAAAAAAAGACGATGGGACCATCTGTGGGGTTTATGTGTCTTGTGGGGGAGAGGGAACGTTTACTAACCACAACCATATAACCTTTTCTCCTCGTAACAAAAATTAGGTTACGGTGTTTAAAAATAACTCCCTCTCTCCATATAGGAGATAAAAGGTTAAGGGTAAAAGTCTAGATAATGGCCCTTCGGGGGTGGAGGCGGGTGGTATCGAAAGAGAAGGTTTCCCCCACTACTGTACCATAAAAAGTTCGTGGCGGTCTCACCCCCATAAAAAGTTATGGGGGGTTAGATAGGAATAGGGGTTGGAGGGTCAAGAGGGTAGGGGGAGTCAAAAGAGAGTAGGGGGAATCGAAAGAGGGTGGTCATCTGAGTAAAACCCCATAAAAAATTTGCGGCGGTCTCACCCCCATAAAAAGTTATCGGGGTTGAAAGTTCATTATTTTGACAATTTTCATACACTATAATTCAAATAAAATTCAACAAAAAAAATATTTTCACGCGGCTGGAGGGGGGGGATCGAAAGAGGGTGGTCACTTGAACAAAACCCGATAACCTAACTTAACCTACCCTATTGATTTAGATATTTAAATAATGTTTTATATAACTTTCTCAATATTTTTATGTATTTTTCATTAGTTTTACCTTTGGATTTTGTTTAAGAATGACTACATAAATATTTGCATGCCTAGAAATGTATGAAAATTGGCATATTTATTAACTTTGAACCCCCATAACTTTTTATGGGGGTGAGACCGCCACGAACTTTTTATAGTACAGTGATGGGGGAGACCTCCTTTTTCGATCCACCCACCCCATTGGGGGTGGGGGCCATAATCTAAATCTTTACCAGGTTAAGTTATGGTGGAATAAATTAGTCTTTAACTCGCCACAAAAAAAAAACTGAGAGTACTCTACAAGATTATCTCTAACTCCTCCATACTCTTCTCCTTACTGACCGAGGGTCAACTAATACACAATTATCAAAGAAAAACAACCACATAAGTATACAAAACAAAATAAGAAAAAGAATATGCCTAGTAGACTTATATATGTAGTTATATAACTCACCCTCTCGTCGGCTGGATCCCTTCTAGCGCCACCGATCCCCTTTCCTCCATCCTTGTTGAGTTTCCGTTTGGCACCGGAAGCCTGATTCGCGTAGTTATACTTGAAATTTTTGCCATCCTGCAAGATGAGAGCTTTGGCCACTGCCCGTTTCGCCGCGAGTCGAAGGGCCGTCTTCAGATCGAAGTCCGGACTCTCGACAACCGTGTGAGATTGACGCACGTACTTTTCGACCGATTTGAGGGACGAGCCGTCGCGCTCGCCCAATTCGCGAACCGCTTTCGTTATCACTTTTGTCAAGTCCGAACCGTTTTCGATTCGTAACGTACGATTCTGCAAACCGCCCGGATCTTTGTACGAACTTTGACCTTTGTTGTATACCTGCAAATGAAAACAACGAACTAAAAAAATGTTTTAACCCATTAAACTACCGTTCAAATGTAATTCGTAAGAAGTAATTGATTACAAGTCAGTGTTCCGGAAAATGACCACGGTAAAGTAGATTTATTAATAGGGGTAGCAACTCAATGAAGTCGAAATATGAAGAAAATCGAGTACCGCGCTGTTATAAAGTTCCTTGCCAAGGAAGGAAAATTTGTTGAAAATGGAGACTCTTGCCAAGATAAAACCATGCTTTGTTAAGTGGTTCGCCCTCCTTAAACAAAAAGGGAGGAACTCACTTGAAGACAACGCATGTCCAGGACGACCAACTGAGGAAGACACACCAGAAATTTTTCGCGCGTTTTTATGAACCTCTGGAGATTAAACCGGGGTTCATTATTATGAACCTGACTCTAAGCAGGGACAAAAAAGGCACATCACCACCGAAGAAATTTAGTGTCAGAATCGACGGATAAAATAATTTTGGAACTTAGAAGGAATTCAATTTACGATTATAATGACAAAATCGTTTCCATAATATGAAAATACTAAGCGGCAGTCCTGAAGAAGTTAACAGAAGCTATCAAAGAAAAACGAAGAGAAAAATATAGGCAAAATAAATAAATTTGTATTTTTATTTTCACTCCTTACACCCGATTCCGGGAAATTAAAAACGCTCTCTCGTATAACAAGAAAAGATGATATACCAATAACACCTTTCCTTTTGAGTTTTTCAATTCGATGCAAATGATCGAATAATTAACAAACAAAAAAACAGATATTTTACAAATTAAACAACTTTTTTGCAGCTAGTGAATATTAATTACAGTAAATCTACATATCGAATCGGAAAGGAAAATATAGTAAGTGTAGAAGTTATTTTGTGGTTGTTAAGGACTAATGGCACAACTTAAAATATTTTAAATCGTCGAAGAACAAAAAATTACGAAAGTCGAATAAAAAGAGACTCACTTTGAGTACGGAGCCATCCTTGACAGCAGTTTCAAGGTGTTCTGCGACGACTTCCTCATGGAAGTTGTGATGCTGCCGGATGGCATGACAGATGCGTTCGACACTTGGTCGTTGCTTCTGGGACCGGATCTTGTGGATGGCGTCGAGGATCCATTTACACCAAACCTCCTGCGATACTTCTTCTGGTTCGCACATTATATTATTAACACGTTATTTATTTTCGTGTTTTTCAGTAATCAACGTGACTATTAACTCATAAAAACCTGCAACAATACGAGAAAGTTGCTGTTGTAAAAAGTTAAAAATTAAATCATCTTTTGTTTCTATTTTTAAATACACCTAATAGGAAACAATAATATTTATTAACAGGGACGGAGTATGAATATTAATCTAATGCATTCTACCAATCTTTTTTTTTAATTTACAGGGGGTAGACCAAAATTTTCTATGTTGTTAAAGTAAACGTTCCTGTATCCTCGAAGTTTTACAGAAAAGACAACATTAAACCCAAATGAAGAGAATCTACTGACATCTTCGTACCGAATACCGAATACATGCAAGTTGAAAAAACAAATAAATGTCAAATACAATAAAAAATCTGTTCAAATTTATAATTAGAGCAGTACTTAATGTTTTGTTTACAAAAACATACACATGTTCTGCAACTCTGAGGCAAAACCGCCGCGGATCTTATTAGAATTGTGCTTACATATCAGAATCGGTATGATGTAGATAAATAACTTTTAAACACTATGATGACTTTTATGACCATTACCAGAATCGTACATGTACACCTATGTATTATTATTATATTGGTACGTTTTTATAATGCACATCTAATCAAGTTGTAAAGATAACAAAGTATACACTTCGTTTTTAAACATTTGATTAACAGCAAAAGTTAAGTGTAAAACATGCTTTACTTGAAACACTTGTTGCGTTGAAAGATAAAACAAATTAAAAACCACGAATTTAATTAAAGTGATTAATTTATTCAAAAAATGAGAACATGTTACTTAGCAACTTTTGAAAAAACATTTATGGACACACGTCTACAGGGCGAGCAAACTATGAGTACCTTAACTAACAACAGTAACGGAAAAAATAACTATAAAAATCTGGGTAGCATCAGAATTGAATGATCGGAAACTATTGGTATATCTAAAGACTATATCCAAATATTTTGGGAAAAATTTATTAGTTATCCATATCCATCAGGTAATTCGTACTAAAGTATCTGAATACCTTTTTTAGAGATGCACCGCATAACCGCGTATCCGGCATTAGCTGCGCCGGATACTTCAACGCTGTTATCCGGTACCCGGCCGGATCCACCGGATTCCAGATCCAAATACAGTACCTAGCCCATCTCTGTTTTTGATTTTTCCGCGGATAGCGCAAGATTCTTCCTCACTAATCTACTCAATAGTACCCGAACTGGTAAAGGTCTAGATGATGGTTCCCACCCCCAAAGGGGGTGGGGGATCGAAAGAGGAGGTCTCCCCCACCACTGTACCATAAAAAATTCGTGGCGGTCTCACCCCCATAAAAAGTTATGGGGGTTCAAAGTTAATAAATATGCCAATTTTTATACATTTCTAGGCATGCAAATATTTATATAGTCATTCTTAAACAATATTCAAAGGTAAAACTACTGAAAAATACATAAAAATATTGAGAAAGTTATATAAAACATTATTTAAATATCTAAATCAATAGGGTAGGTTAAGTTAGGTTATCGGGTTTTGTTCAAGTGACCACCCTCTTTCGATCCCCCACCTCCACCCGCTTGAAAATATTTTTTTTATTGAATTTTATTTGAATTATAGTGTATGAAAATTGTCAAAATAATCAACTTTCAATCCCGATAACTATTTATGGGAGTGAGACCGCCACGAACTTTTTATGGTACAGTGGTGGGGGAGACCTCCTCTTTCAATACCACCCTCCCTCACCCCTAAAGACATTTACCCCCGAATTATTGTAAATGGAATCAATTATTTTTCCATTTATGCCAAATGGCAACCCCGATAACTTTTTATGGGAGTGAGACCGCCACGAACTTTTTATGGTACAGTGGTGGGGGAGACCTCCTATTTTAATCCCACCCTTCCCCACCCCTAAAGGCCTCCTCCCCTTTAGGGGTGGGGGCCATCATCTAGAAATTTACCCCCGAATTATTGTAAATGGAATCAATTATTTTTCCATTTTTGCCAAATGGTTTTGAATGGAATTTACAAATTTTCCATTGATTCCCAATGGAGTTCAATGGAAACTTTTCCTACGGGCCTTCTTATACGTGTGTTTGTTCGCTGTACGAATTATTAAAGAGCATTAATTCCAAATACATATTATACGAGATATTAAATTGCAACCGCTATCCGGAAACAAATGGTAGGTAGTACCCTAAATAGGGTTAAGTACCATTTGCAAACAAAAAACAAACAGGGGCCAATGGTATCCGAATACCTACCATTTTGGAAACAACAGTCCAAAGTGTATTACAAATTGATTAAAAAATTATATATTATTAAAGGTGTAGGTGCATGATAGGTGCCGCCTGATCCTTTGATCGGTTATTGCTCGTTACTCTGCAGTCTACAAGTTTTAATCTACCAAACACAATCGATTAGCCATTAATTTCCAATTAGTGACATATAAGGAAAAAAGCAATAGTTCCACGATTACATCATCGATAGCAAATAGGTGTTGTAGGTGGTATGCTTATACTGTACATAACGTAAATAATATTTATATATGTATGATATAGCTATTTATGTATATTAGAGATTGGCTGGGTATCCGGTTTAGATCCGTTACTTTTATTAGTATCCGACCGGGTACCGAATAATTGCATCAGAAACAATTCTAACTAATATTATAAACGCAAATGTCAGTTTGTTTGTTTGCTACCTTTTCATGCCCCAACCACTCAACCTATCATCATGAAATTTTATTCACACATTGTCAAATAGAAAAGGACATAGGGCACCTTTTATCCAGAAAAAAATACTGTTCCCAAAAGATAGTATCATATCGTCCTCGATGATCTTTTACGACATTAATGGCGGATAAAACCTAGTTTTTCAATAAGAAGTACAACAAACGTACCTTAAAAATTGGTAATTAAATTATATTGATAATAGTTTTGCCGGATACTTGGCACAGCTAATGCTGGGTACACGGTTATCCGGTAGATACCCGGCAAAATTACTATCTGGTGCATGTTTAATATATACCGTATATATTTTTCAATAAGATATCTATATTAAATAACTTTT